ATTGGATTCTTGGTTTTTCCAATAGGTCGTTGATATACAGTAAAAAGAATGTTGGAGACAATATGGATCCTTGGGGAACACCAGCGTTAATGGTAAAAGTATTCGAAAGATATCCATCGACGGCCATATAAAAAAATTGTTTGTCAGAAAAATCTCAAAATCTAGCTACTTTAACGTCTTCTAGCATTCCAGTAATGAAGTTCCAACCCTTAGTACCGTAATACCGTCGCACTATATTTTTCACAGTTACGACAATATCCAATCCAATCCAATTGACTATACTTTCAGCTGTTTGGAATTTTTCTATATTTATTGTTATTTTCTTCTGTTATTTTTATTTTTGGGTTAGGTTAGGTTAGGTATGGTTATTTTTGTTTCAGTGAAATGTATTTCAACATTTGTTGTTGCAATTCAATAAAGCATATTTAAAATTTTCGAAACTTCATCATCTGTAATAATTTTTAAAAATCGATAATCCCAGCCAAGCATTAAAATATTGATTCATTTCTATTGTATCGACACTAATTTAATGGCATACATGCGAGCGAAGTCGCGAGTAAAAAATAGTTTATATTAGAAAATGGAAGTCCGAACTAATAAAATGCACCACGAAACATTTTCAACCACTTTCAAACAAAATCGTGAAAGTTCAAATTTGGGAACTTTCAGGGTAACAATTGAAAGACAAAGACTAAGACAAGGATGTTATGAAAACGCATATATTGAACTTTTTTCGAGACAAAAATCAAAACAGAGACAAGGACTACTGGGAGGTCAACATCGGCTCTCAGTACCTATACCGTTCAAATAACGGATTGAAATTGACTATCTTCTGTCCATCTAAGCAACAGAGTGCTCCAAAACTATCCTGTTAGTACACGTGATCTCCCAGACAAGGTTTTTTGTACAGAATCGCAGTAAGGAACGACCAAATTTTCATTTATTTTTTTCGATAATAAATATATCTACCTCTCATAACCAGTTCCAGTCAATAATTTTGATCTCCTTGAAATGATTATCTAAACTATTTCTGTCACAGTTTCAGTTCTTAGGTTATAGTCCTTGTCTCAGTCTCTGTCGTAAAATCATAGTATATCATATCATAAATCATAAATATTAATTTTTTTCAATAATATGCGGTTGGGTATAGGGAAATTTTTTAGATGGAATGTAGGGAACAAATTAGCAGTTTCTTCAGCCGTATCAGTACTTGACTTTTTTTACCGTATATGTACACAATACAGCCGTTAAAACGGCAACAGCCAATTGCAGTTAAATCTGATTGGCCAGCTTGAGGAGGCTTGTTTATTTTACCCAATAGATGCAAATGTGTGTGTGGTGATAATGCTTTGATCACGCATCTATCTTTGTTTGGGTTACTGTGTTTGTTGGATGGATATTGTTTAGTAGCACAGTAGTAACAACAATACGAATATCTTGTGAGTGTAAGAGAGCGCCTTGTCCTTTTCCTGTCCGATTTTTTGTTAGCCTTAAGCTAGGGATAGCAAAGATTCCATTGCCCCCTGGATCCGCACCATTCGTAACTAACTCGGCATTGAAATAGCAACAATCTGGCAATACCGACGAGCGTTTATCAAATACAGATGTGTACAAAATTTATTGAGAGAGGTGCGGAAATTCTACGTCTCCAAAAACTCGACATGGATGACCAATAATGAAGTGAAATTTTCCAAAATCAATTTCAAATGTAGTAAGCGAGGTTAGTGAGGCAACCGTGCTTCAAAAAGAAAACAAAACATTACTTACTTATTTCATGAAAGATGTCAATTGTTCAATCAGAGAAGCCAATAATTTGCATATTCAAGTCAATATTAGAATTTACAGTACAGGAATGAATATTATGTAGCATGACAAACTAACCCAGACAATAACGGACATCTGATAGATATCCATTAGATATGATTATGATCGACCGGAGGCCACCAACCTGGGACGAATATTAGATATCGTACATTTTTTAGATATCTCATAAATGACCACAGAATATCCACCGGAGGATATTCATTCCAAATCAACTGTGGGACGACTATGAACATCCATTTCACGTCCATGGATATTCCGGCCTGAATTGGATATCCATAGGATTGAAAATATATCTGTCTCTGTTCAATAATTTGATTGAATCATGACAGAAATGATGTCAACCCGATTTCAAATGAAATGGAAACGGTGGACATAATGAAATGAATTTAGTCATTTGAAGTCTTCATTCTATATTCTTTCGATATTTTCCAACAGAAATACGAAATACGAAATATGAGAGAAACTACATCTCAGTCATAACAAACAAAATAACAAATAAACTACGACAAATGTGAAAATATGTCCAGTAGTAACCAAGACATTCTCCAACAAATAAGTATTTAGTTGAAGGGGATTGAAAAAATATTGTTTTTCAGAAGGCGGTATAAATATATATTTCCTTGAATTACACCGTCAACACAGTAAAAATAAAAATCTCAAAGTGAAGAACATTATCTCGATTTAAAGAAATCTTGCTCTCCTATATTCATGAAGAAATATTTTTTAAACTGAGAAACATATTCTCTCAAGTT